CCACTATAACCAGTTGAGCTGGGAGTCGTTGTGATTGGGACTAGCTTGTGCGAAGCACGTCTGTGTCGTTGCCATGTCATCGACTCCTGTGCAGGTCGTTCCCCCGAGATTCCCCGATCCAGAGCTCTTCGCCCCTCCAAAATTCAGTGAGATGCCAAAGGCAAGGCCGGTCACGAAACGGCAGAAGCGGCAGACTGCGAGCCCAAGACAGGCACGCCCGGTGACCGTGCCGCCCAAGGCCAAGGCCAGCAAAGTCATTTTTTGGACGATGGGAGACGTGCATTCGTGGATGCGTCGAGGCTGAGGCTTCCGCGAGTGCTCCGAAGCCTCAATTTTCAGCAGCGGTTTCTATGCTGACAGCTCGGCCAAAGGCTCCGGCCCTCAGTCCAAGGACCAGGCATCTGGATGGCTCGACGTTGAGATGAGTATTTGAGGTCTTGCCGTCTCCGCCTGAAGCTCCAGTGCCCACAGCCGGCGGCGCGCCGGTCAGGGCTGAGCGCAAAAGCGCTTTGAAGCGGAAGGAGCTGGGCCCGGAGGTTGGTTCACGTCGATCGCTGGCACGACTCCTGTGCTCCCAGGCGCCAAAGAGCTCAAAGCCGCCTGCAGCACCGCAAGCAGAGGCACGAACCCGCGCATTGTCAGATTGGGTGCTCCGCTGGGAGGGGAGCGGACTGCAAACCCTGGAATGGACAGGCGCCCCTCACTATTCTCGGAATCCAAGATGTGGGGACAGAAGTTGAAAACATTCCGACGTATCGATGCACACAAGCAGGTCATGGAAGAGAGATGCGAAGCATGCTGAACATGCGGTGGGAAGAACAGCATGAAACTGGAGTACAGCACCAGCTGCATGTGTCGGGAGCCTGCGACCGGAGACGTCCACCAAGCACTTGCTACAGTACTGCCCGGCACAGACGGGGCGACCGTGTTATCACGAGAGACCTCGATACGCATGCAACGACAAATTGAATCCAATGGCAGCAGTTTCTTCAGAACCAAAATGCAAGGAACGTGGAAGGAAGAAGGATTCTTCTCGAGACGCAAGCGCATGCAAACGCGAAGCAGACATGACTAGACTGCAGGCTCAAGGTGCACACGCCCGCGCCAGAAGCAAAGACCCAGCTCCAACTCACCGGTCGCTGCTTGGGAAGGGGGGGGGGAGCATCGGCCAGTTGATGGGTGCGGTGTATCACTTTTTGATGAAATTTTCATGTTTAGGGAAAGGTCTGTTGTGAGCGGATTCTGGGATTGACCTGTTCAGGAGCCGCAAGGCGCTGGCGATGCTGATTTGAAGGCATGGCCCCCACCAGCGTTGAGTTGAGATCCCTTGCCACAGACTGGCATGGCTGTTGCATGAGGACGAGCCACTGCAAGAGAAGCCGGTGCACCCGGTGAAGAGACGCCCATCCGCTCTGTTGCAATCCAAACCGAAGTCCAAGCCCGTCCCGTCCAAACCACAAGAGGCCTTTGAACACCAGGGAGCGCCGGGAGCGGACCTCGAGCCCAAGGAGGTACTCGAAGAAGAGGCATTCGGATTCGCGCAAGGAGTCGATCTGGAAAAGGCATCTCCACAACAAAGCCCGGTCCCGCCGGAGACGGCTGAAGCGGAAGGCTTCCTCTTCGAGCAGGAACGGGAGGAAAAGGATGCGCCAGACGAACAACAGGAGGAATGGTGGTGGTGGCAGCAACAGCAAAGCTTCGCCGAGGCTGTTGCACCCGTCCCTGAGCGTGAGATGGAAGCGCCAGCAGAAGAAGCAGATGAGCAGACCGAGGAGCCCATGGACACCGATCAAGAGATGGTATTCGAGGATGCAGAGGCTGAGTCTGAGATTTCAGAGAGCCTGGATGCCCTGGAGGCACAGATCTCTGCGGAAGAAGACCGGGTCTACGAGCTCCAGCGGCAGTTGCTGGCAGAGAATGACAGTGACACGGAGGAGACGGACACGGAGGCAGGGCCGGCAGGCGCCGGGGTGGAGCGGCCTTTGAAGAGGAAGCTGAGCCTTCCGAAGCAAGACCCGAAGCTGAGGAAGGATCTCCGGCAGTTGATCCAGCGGTATGGAAATTCCCAACACCTCCTCACGAGCCCTTCCACTCCGCCTTTGGAAGAGACATCGGAGCTTGGCGCTCCTCGCACTCCTCCCCTGCAAGAGAGCCCAGAGTCTGTGGCACATTTCGCACCTCTTCTCGCAAACCTCCTCGCCTCCTCCATGCCAGAGTCTCAGCCGCCTCTTGAGGCCCCACCGGATCCACAGGAGCCAGAGGGCCCTACAACGGCTTGGGCTGCCGCAGATCCCCGGGTCGTCCCAGTGTCACTTCATGAGAGCAGCTCGGGCCCCCATGAGTGGACAGCTGCTGCGAACAGCAGCCGGCATGCCTCAACGCTGGAGGAACTTGTAGGCCACCAGACAGCAACAGAAATGAGACATGTCTCATGTAATCGCATGTAATCGCAGCCGAATCTCCTGCGGCTCCCGAGAACAGTGCGAGGTCAGCCCGCCTCCGTTGCGTGTCCCGGCACCGCGGAGGCGGTGAAGACAGAAGACAGCCTGAACAGCGCGTTGATTCGGGCCGTCCTGGATGCGCCCCTTGGTTTCACCAAGCAAAAGCCCCCGGAGTCTCGTGCTTGTTGAGGGTTTAGGGTTTAGGGTTTAGGGGTCCCCTAAACCCTAAACCCTAAACCTTGAGAAGTCCTGACAGGGGGCTTCCGGAGCTGCAGGGTGCGATTCCACAGAATCCCCACGAGCCAACCATTGCAGCAGCAGCCGGGAGCTTAGACATGGCAAGGTCGGGCATCGCAGTGCATGGCCAGAAACATGGCTTCAGACGGGGCTTTCTTGGGGGGTCCCTTGTCTGGAAATTTGGCTTCGGATGCTTTTTAGTCTTTAGCCTTGACCTCCTCAAAACCGCGTTCCAACGCAACCTTGCAAGTCTCTTCACTATGACCCTCATCCAGACTCCTACGACTCTCTCACCACTCCTCTCGCAATCGCCCTTGCCTTCCTCCTCAGTGTTGCTTTCATCCTCAATCTCACTCTCGCTCGCACCCTGTCTCGGTTGTCACTGTCGCGTTCGCGAGTCACGAGCTTGGGCTTCTTGCTGAGTCCACGCTGGTACCTTGCACCTCGTGTAAGTTACACAAGGTCTTGCAGTCAAAACACTGGGCGCAAACGCTCTCAATGCGTGACGCAGAACAAGCACACGGTGCATCCCCTGTAACTCACAAAAGGGAGTGGTGGGTGGGACGAAAGTCTCGCAGCTTGCTAAGCTCCCTCACTCCAGCCGAAAGTTGCAGACAAGTTTTGGGTGAAAACCTGCACTAAAGCAGAAAGTACTACTTTCACGTTTATAGACAAAAATCTCTTGCCTACACTTTTTCAGCGACGATAAGACTCAATCACGCACGCATGATGGAAGCTCATCGACCGACAAAAACTTTTGGTGCAGTCCAACCTGTACGACGGCAGCCGAAGCATCAGCAGTAAGCCAAACCGTACCACGGTCTACTGTAGAATCGCTGTGAATTACGGCAACTCGAAGAGTCACCACTCCCACCAGACTATGCGACGCGTGCTAAGTCCAAGGCATCTACAATGTGGGCCTCTGCGATGGAGGCGTACACGGAGAGTGGCATTGCTGCACTGGTGGGTCAGGGGCTGGTGCTGGCTCGAGTTCCCAGCTTAGGCATTCTGATGAGCTCAAGAGCGACGTCTCTTGCAGAGAGCATATTGCTGAGCAGCGATACGGTCTCTTCAGCGGAAAATCATACGAGCTACTCGTAACTGCGCTCCACAGCAAGTTGCTTTGGCTCTCGTACCTGTTTTTGTCCCTCGCTTGAGCTGTGCAGGACAGGCTCGGATTTGCATCCTGGGCTTCGGTTGTTCGAGGCACATCCGCTCTTTGGTAGCCGAGCGAGGATGCTTGGCTACACGAGAATTGCCACGTTTGCCAGCCACTGCGATGGCTCGTGTTGTCGATGGACAACGAAGCTTCGACTGCCAACGTCCGATCAACCACGGAAGCTAGTTCATGCCGACCACTACAGCATTCGTATCAGCTACAGCAATGTAACCGACCAATTGCCATCTGTCGCCATGGATCCGCAGCTGCAAGATTACCGTGCTCTGCAGCAAGCACGCTTTGAGGCGTGTGATCTGTTGCTTCACGAGGGCCGGTCTTACGGGTGGAACAATGTCGAAGCCAAGCCTGAATTTCGAATCCAGTTTCTGTTTGCTGTCGTGGCTAGTCTGGGATCGCCCCACCGAGACTGTCCCAGGGTTAAAATTTAACATTGACATGATGAACCTATCGTTGTTCTGTATGTCTTGGGTATCCTGTCACAACTCCGGAGCCGATGGTAGACAGCCATGCTTGCATCTGACTTTTGCTGCACGCCCGACGGCCCCGTGGTTTCAATCTTGTGTCTCAAAGGCTACATGTGGCTGAAGTTCTGAAGCGGGCGTTGCAAGTGCACAGATCGCAGGAGGCCAAGGCAGAGCTGCGGCGCAGGCGAGCAGCTTGTCTTTTTCGTTCGGGTGAGCCTCTTTGAGCTGCTCCCGGAAAGGACACAGGATAGCGGACCGTTGAGACCTTCCACATGTGCGGAGGTCCGGCAGAGATTGTCCCTGAATCCTAAACCCATGTGCTGGAAACCGACACTGAGAAAACTTGCAACCTGCCTCGCCGATTCGAAGGCCTTGGCCCGCCAGTTGCGCGCCAGGCAGAGGGGCGGTCGGAGTCAGAATATGAATAATAAACACACACAGATATATATATATATAATATACACACATACATANNTACATACACACACATACATACATACTCAACGGATGTCATCCCAGGTGTCGCGGAGTACCGTGGTACCACAGAAAATAGGTGACTTTGCACGGCTCCAACATCGATGGCCCGACAGCTTTCAAGCAGATCAGCTTCCCAGCTTGAAGAAAGTTCATAACGAGCGACCGATGGGGTCCCCTGCATTCGCCACAACGATACAGCCCTGGTGTCCATGAAGATGATCTGGATTTCATCCCTTGGGAGGAGTTCTTACTCCGCCACTGCAACCAATGAGTGAGCACGACGGCCCGCAAGATAAAGACGTTGTGGCCGGTTCGATGGGGCTCGCAGCCAAATGCTATCGGCCTCTCTCTCTCCCTCTCTCTCTCTCTCTCTCTCTCTCTCTCTCTCTCTCTCTCCCGCCCTCCCTATATATA